GAAGCCCCCCTCCCCAATAGGGAGATAAGGGGTGTCCAATATGGGGAGGGGGGATTAGGCTAGTCCCCCTTCTCTGCACTGACCCCTCCCCCCTCCAGGGGGTGCTTTTTATCCCCCACCCACCCACCCAAAAGCCTGGTGTGTGTGTGAGTGAGTGGGGGGGGTTCCCCTGTTTCTTGGCCCCCCTCCCCTTCCTATCCTCCCCCCCCCCTTGGGGGGAGAGGGCAGAGGCAGGCTTGCTGAGGGTCAGGAAGGGGGGGTCGCCCACCCTCTAGGCCCCCCCTCCCCCCCCCAAAATGGAGCCTGTCTTACGTTTCAACACCAGGATCAATAAACCACCAACATTGGACTGGGCAGGAGACCAGCCCCCCCCTCCCACCCCCAAAATGGAGAAGGACAAAGTGGGCCCAGCGGCTGCCGCTGGGGGGGCTGCAGGAGGAGGAGGAGGAGGAGGAGGAGGGAAACTGATGATCTACACCAGCCTGGATGCCAAGGATGAGCTGGAAGAGGTGGGTATGTCTTTGGGGGGTGGGGAAAGAGAGGAAGGGGCTTCTGCCTGGCCTCCCCCAGTCTTAAGAGGGCTGAGCCTGGGCCCAGGCAGAAGGGGGGCTCCCTGGGGGGCTTGGTTTCCCCATGGTTGGTATTCTTCCTTCTCCCCCACTCCTCCTTTTTCTTCCTCCTCCTCTTCCTCCCGTCCTTCTTCTCCTTCCTCTCCTTTCTTCTTCTTCCCTTTCCCTTCCTTCTCTCTTCCTCCTCCTCCTCTGTCCTTCTTCCCTGCCTCCCTCTCCTTTCCTCCTTTTCTCCTTCCTCTTCCTCCTCTTCCTCTCCTCCTCCTCCCTCTTCCCATTTCTTCTTCTTCTTCCTCTTCTTCCCCCTTCTTTCTTTCTCTCCCTTTCCTCCTCTCTTCCTCTTCTTCCTCTCCTCCTCCTCCTCCGTCCTTCTTCCCTGCCTTCCTCTCCTTTCTTCCTTTTCTCCTCCTTCCTCTTCCTCCTCTTCCTCTCCTCCTCCTCCCTCTTCCCATTTCTTCTTCTTCCTCCTCCTTTCCTCCTTCTTCCTTCTTCTCCTTTCTTCCCCTCCCCTTCCTCCACCCCTCTCTCCTCCTTTTCCCCTCCTTCCTCCTGCTGCCATCCTCATCACCTCATTCCTCCTTCACTCTGCTCTTCTTATTCTTTCCTCTCTTCCTCCTCCTCTCTTTCCCCCCTCCCTCCTCCTGCTGTCACTCTCTTCCTCTCCTTCTCCCTTCCATTTTCCTCCTCCTCCTCCTCTTCCTCCTCCTCCTCCTCCCTTCACCCCTTTCCAAGAAACTTCCTCCAGACGTTTGCCTGGGTTTTTGCAGGGCAAATATATTCCTCTTCCTCCACACACACACACAACACACAACACCACAACAGGGACTGTCTCTTCCTTTGCAGAGAGGACAGGGGCAGCTGTTGCCAACCCCCACCCCCCTCCACTTGTGGTTGTGTTTGTGTCAGGCGTTGTGTGTACGTTGTAGAGAAGACAACGTCCCCGTTTCAAAAACCTGGGAAGCCGCTGCTGATTTTTACGAGCCTGGTTTAAAAAAACAACAACAACACACTTTTCTTTGCCAAAACTTTCCTCTTATTTAGTTCATATGTCTTGGGACACGAGGCGGCTAAGTCCTCGACTTACCACAGCGAGAGCTGTAAAACCGACGTTGCTAAGTGGGACGTTTGCGGAGCTGTTTTTACGTTTTTTCTTGCCACCGTGGCTAAGGGAATCGGTTGCTCACACACGGCCGTTAACCCCTGGTCGCAGAACGGGGATCTCACCCCGGGGTGGGGGGACGGGGACGACAACACACTGCAACCGTCGTAAATACGAGTCAGTGGTCAAGCACCCGAATATAAATCGCCGCGGGTTCGTAACTGTGAGAAACGGTCACATTTTCCAGGGCCGTCGTGACTTCGAACGGTCGCTAAGTGAACCCCCGTAAGCATACCTGTAACTCCTCTTAAAGACATGGATGAGATCCTCACTAACAGAAACAACAGAACAGAATGAATAGAATAGAATTAAAGTGGAATAGAAGAGACTAAAGAGAGTTGGAAGGGACCTTGGAGGTCTTCTAGTCCAACCCCCTGCTTAGGCAGAGGGGGTGGGGTGGGGGGGAAGAACATTATAGGACGTTTTTCATCCAGGTGAGAACGGACCTCTTGACTGCTCAAGACGGAGAACTGTAAAACACCGGAGTTGTGTTACCGAAATGTGTCCCTTCCCCACTTCTTACATTTTGTGTTACAGTTACAGTTTGTGTTGTGAGTTTTGTGCAGTAATTGTCCCTTTGGTGCTGAGTTGTCGTTCTTGGTTTAATCCTTGGCTGGTTTTTCTCACCTGGATGAAAAGTGTTTTAACCGAGGCTTCCCGAGAGAATGAAGCAAACTCCTTGTTGTCCCGACAAAAAAAACTTATTAATTTTCCCGTGAATTCTGCTCCTTCCCATCCAGCAAAAATATTTCGAAGGAGGATTTACGGTCACAGACCTTATCNGACACAGAGCCCTCCTCAGAGCCTTCCCCAGACACCCATCTTCCTCCCCAACCTCCTCACTGTCCGAATCTACTGCCAGCTCTGCTAGCTACTGGCGGAGGATTCTCAGAGAAGTTAGGAAACAAGGAGAAATAGCCACCAATCAGTGTTTGATGGCTCCCCAGAGATCTAAATCATGGTCTAGAAGAATCAGCACTCACAAGTTCGCGTTCCGTTCACCTCTGAACCAGATCCTTCACAAGCCAGGATAGGGGGAGGAGGGGGAAGAATCCCACTATTATTCCTGGTTAGATCTGAATATTGTGGTTTCAAGACCCGTCCTTATAATCAGGTCAAGGAATCGTGGTTGGAAGCCATCTCGTTGACCTTTCGCTGACCCATCGGTTTTTCTCCCTCAAGGTCCAGTCTGCGCAGGAGTTGTGGGCTTGAAGATGCCTCGTTACTGTCTCTTTGGAGACACGGTGAACACGGCTTCGCGCATGGAATCCAACGGTGAAGGTAAGTAGTTTTGGGAGAAGAAGGAAGAAGGTGAGGAACGGGATGGATGGTTGAAGTGCCCCATGCCACCTGGATGCTTGTAGGTAGTTAAGGAGATGGTGGAATAACTGACCTAGGAGAAGGCTTTGAGGCTACTTGGTTGAGGAACAATTTCTACCGAGCCTGTTGAAGCAAGATACTTCTACAAGGACCAGGTGAAGCGAGAACATCTTGAGAAGAACCAACTGAGGCCATCTCCTTCATAGTTGTATCCATGTAACACAACACTCATCCTTCAGGACTTCTTCAACTTCCCCGGTCTTGCTGACATGGCCTCCTAGTCTCCATCTCTGCTCCCTTTCTCCACTTCAGTCCTTCTAATCCAGATGTTCTAATCCTCTGCTCATTCCAGCTTTGAAGATCCACTTATCGTCGGCCACCAAAACGATCCTCGAGGAGTTTGGATGCTTCGAACTGGACCTCCGAGGAGACATCGAGATGAAGGTGAGGAGGGCGTGTGTGGGGTTGAAGGTCCTCCCTGCATCCGGGTGCCTGAGTTACTGGGTGGCCGATGGCTCTGGAGGCATCTTCTTCCTGAATTCTGATGGATCTTCTGTCCTCCGTCTCTTTCCTCCTCACAGGGCAAGGGTAAACTCCGGACGTATTGGTTGACGGGCGAGCGGGTCAGCAGCACCCGTGGGTGATGAGAAGATGGAGAAGACCACTTAACTCCTGCTTCCTTCAAGGAGATCCACCTCACCCGAGACTTTCTTCAAAGAACCTATTGGCTTGGAGTTGAGGGCACCATGGATGGACCTCAGAGGACTATCCTTGCTCCCCTGCCCCCCACTTCCTTTCGCTTCTTCATCACCCTGCAAATCTGGTCCCCAGGTCCAAAGGTTGGGTAGATCAGGAGATGATCAAGAGACGACCAGGAAAGAGGCCTTCTCCTCTCCTTGTACGATGAGAAGTTCTGGAGAAGTTGACTAAAGCTCCATCACTTTTACGGGCCACCTTCTCATCTTTTCTAGGAATGTTGGATAATCGGAACGTCTGTGGTCGACTCAGAGTCGTAATTAAGGGAGGCCCGGACGCTACACAACTCTTGTGACAGTTATCTGTGTGTACACACAGACACACACACCTGCAGGTTCCCGGAATCTGCAGATTTTACAATAAACGGAATGTATATAAGTCAACTCCCTGTTTTATTTTTGGTCGGCGTGACGCTCCAGGAAGGTCAAAGAGGGTCTTTGTCTTGTGTTGAAGCTCCGGAAGCCCCCTTCTCATTTATGCTTCTGTGCCGGCGTGGCACTCTGCACATGCTCCAAAATCCCAGTTGCTGCTTTTCCAAAATTGAACGTTGAATCGGAAGAGGTAAAATGGCGGCCGGTAGATTTCAAAGAATGGGGGAAATTGCGTATATGCCGTACGAGAGTTCGTTTAGCGACTGTTTGAAGTTACCACGGCACTGAAAAAAAGGGGACTTATGACTGTTGTTCACTCTTACGACATTTTCACACTTACGACCCCGTGGTCTAAATTCAGATGTTTGATAGCCGATTCGTATTTATGACGGTTGCATCATCGTGCCCAGGGTCACGCGATTCCCCTTTTGCGACCTTTCGACGAGCAAAGTCTCATTTTACTTAATGACCGCGTGACTAACTCAACAACGACAGTGATTCCCTTAACAACGGTGGCAGGACGAGTCGTAAACGAAATTTTCTTAAACCGATGTCTCGCTTAGCCACAGAAATGTGGGGATCAACTGCGGTCATAAGGTCGAGGACTACCTGTACGGGCTGTTGTTTCCCAACGTTCACAACTTTGCGTCCGTCCGTCCGTCCTTCCCTCCCTCCCGTTTCACGGCGGTGCCTTCTGGACTTCCTTAAAAAAAATAATCCCTCCCCGTTGAGACACACTTAAATTCGCCTGATTTTAAACCTTGGTTTAATTCTCTCTCTTCTCTTAACCAACATGTCCCAAATCACATTAGCATTTGCGCACCCGAAAAAGCAATGTTAGCTGAATTCATTTGCTTTTTTTAAAGATACATTTACAATGTCCTGTTTTGCTATATATATATATATATACATACATACATATGGTAAGGAGGAGACCTGATAAGGAGGAGACCTGTGGCATAAAGACGTTTGCCTAAGATGCAATACAGCACAGGTTCGAATCCCAGTAAGGGTATGGNTCTTCCTCTCCTCTTTCTTGTCCTCTTCCTCTTCCCTCCTCCTTCTCTTTCTCCTCCCCCTCCTCCTCCTCCTCTTCCTGTCCTCCTCTTCCTCTCCTTTTTCTCCTTCTCTTCTTCCTCTCCCCCTCCTCCTTCTCTTTCTCCTCCTCCTTCCTCTCCTCCTCCTCTTCCTCCTCTTCCTCTCCCTCTCTTCCTTCTCTTTCTCCTCCCCTCCTCCTCTTCCTCTCCTCTTCCTCTTCTCTTTCTCCTCCCCCTCTTCCTCTCCTCTTCCTCCTCCTCTTCCTCCTCCTATCCACCCACCCCCCTTCCCTCTAATCCTCACCACTTGGGAGCCCCCTCAAAAGACCCCCACTTGTCTCTTGGCGTTCGGCTGCTACAACAACGTTTCTCCCCCTCTGTTTTTTTTCTCTGCCCCCCCACTTCCCCGTGCCCCAGTGTTATCGAGACCTCGCCCTGGTGAGCCGAGATGGGTTAAGCTCCACGTTGACCAAGATGAACCAGATCCTCATGGACAAATACCTCAAGCTGCAAGACACCAGTCGCACCCAGGTGGGGAGCCGGGCTGCGCGTTCCTCTGCGCCCTTAGAGAGAGAGAGAGAGTGTGTAAATTAAGTCAAGAAGTGATTTTTGGGGGAACCTCGGGAACAGCTCGGTGTGGACGTCCCTGTTTGTGAGATTCCCGCCAACATCGGGCACTGACCGCGGGAAACGGCGGGCTCGGTTTTAAGGAAGGAGACGGTGTACGGGCGTCGCGAAATTGGGAAAGGAAAACCCGGGCGTTTGGGATCGCTAGCGTGGTCCCGAGAGACGATTCCCCCCCCTTTTCTTTTTCATATCAATTGTTCATTATATGATCATTGATCCTTTCATTATACAATATACGATTTCCCCCTTTTGTCGACCCCAAAACCCAACTTGAAATAAAATAAATCCCCTTTTTCCGCACTGCGGTTTTTAGTTTCAGCACCTCGGTGTCGTTTTTGGCCGAGGCCTCTGGAGCTGCGGGCGATACGGCGCTGTCCAGGGAGCCCCACCCCAGAGTGATTTCTCTTTCCTTTAGCTGCTTTGGCTGCTGCGCGAGATGGTGAGGAACGGCGTTCTAGGCATCGATGGGATTTGCATGACGTTCATGAAACAGATTGCAGGTGGGTGTTTGGTCTTGAAATGCCGCCCAGCGGAGGTGAAACTGACTTGATCCATGCCAGTTCGGCTTTGCTTTCTTCTCCAAGCTGCGTGATTTTTCCCGTCGGCAGCGGTGGGGAAATTATTTCTCTTAACTAACTGAAAAGAAACAATGAACTCAGCACAGATTGTCAAACACAGAGAAAGCCAGTGAAAATAATAATATTTGATTCACTTTATGTGCCGCAAAGTCCTCGGTGACCCTGAACAGAAAGGTTTAACTTTCCTTTAAAAAATCAAACTAGCAATGATGGTCTGCTATTGGATTCACTTAAGCAAAGAGGGGAAACTGACTTGATCCTTGTCTGTTCGCCTTGCTTTCTTCTCCAAGCTGCGTGAAATCCCGATTTTTCCCGTCGGCAGCGGTGGGGAAATTATTTCTCTTAACTAACTAAAATAGCTATTGGATTCACTTAAGCAAAGAGGTGAAACTGACTTGATCCTTGCCTGTTCTTCTCCAAGCTGTGTGAAATCCTAATTTTCTCGTCGGTAGCGGTGGGGAAATTATTTCTCTTAACTAACTAAAATAGCTGAGGGGCTAAGACGCCGAGCTTGTCGATCGGAAAGGTCGGCAGTTCGACGGTTCGAATCCCCCAGCACCGCCTAACGGAGCGAGCTCCCGTTACTCGTCCCAGCTTCTGCCAACTTAGCAGTTTAAAAGCACGTAGAAAAATGCAAGTAGAAAAATAGGAGCCACCTTTGGTGGGAAGGGAACAGCGTTCCGTGCGCCTCCGGTGTTGAGCCACGCCGGCCACATGACCACGGAGACGTCTTCGGACAGCGCTGGCTCTTCGGCTTTGAAACGGAGGTGAGCAGCGCCCCCTAGAGCCGGGAACGACTAGCACAGATGTGCGAGGGGAAGAACCTTTACCTTTAACTAACTAAAGAGAAATGAGCACAGTGGGAGATTTTCAAACACAGGAAAAGCCAGAAAAAATAATAATAATACTTTATTCAGTTTATGTGCCGCCCCGTTTCCAGCGAGGCTGACCAGAAAGAAAGTTTTAATCAAACAAGCCATGATTGGCTAGCTGTCGGATTCACGAAGCAAAGAGGCGAAACTGACTTGATCCTTGCCTGTTCAACCTTGCTTCTTTCTCAAACACGCGGGGCGTTGAAATCTGATTTTTTTTCCCTGTAGTCCTCGGCTTAACAAACGTCTTGTTTAACGGCCAACTTTTTTTCACTCCCCCACCCCCCCTCTGCTGGCAGGAGGAGATGTCACCGCCAAGAACATATGGCTGGCCGAAAGCATCCTCGACATACTGACGGAACAGAGGTAGGCTCTCTCACCTGGTCGGAATAACCCGCTGGCAAAAATCCACCAGGCGCCAAAGATTTGGAACCAGCTTTTTTTACATTTTCTTTCCTTCTGCCCGGTTTTAACCGAATCCTTTACGTTTCCTGAAGTTTTTCTTTTTGTAAAACTTCAGATATGATATCGAGGGAGGTATAGGGAAAAGGGAAGGAAGGAAGGAGAAGGAAGGAAATGACAAGGAAAGGAAGAAAGGGGAAGAGGGGAGTATGTAAGGAAAAGATGATAGATGGAGAGAGAGAGAGAGAGGGATGGATGGTTGATAGATGGATAGAGAGATGGATGGATGGATGGGTGGAGGGGAGCTAAAGGGAAGGGAAAGAAGAAAGGAAGGGAAATATGTAAGTAAGGAAAAGATAGGATGGATGGATGATAGATAGATGCAGATAGACAGACAGAAAGACATATATATACCTAATACATTATAAATACAGAGATGATAGATAGATAGATAGATAGATAGATAGATAGATAGATAG